TCGCAGCTAGTCTTTTGTTTCTCCAACTTCCTATTCTAGTTTAGATGCACAGCATAACCAAAGGACACTAATTTGACATTTTATTGGATTGGTTCTGATAATATTTCCTTCTTCTGCAGTTCTTGCTTTTTAGGTGCAGCCACTCTCTTCCATTTATGGCCTCATGCACACTGTGCTTTTACTTAGCTCCTCTGAAAACCTTTTCTTCTGGCAGGACAGAAGCTGCTTAAAAAATTGCGGTAAAAGATGCGTTTTGCACACACATTTATGCGCGTCCGCACGCATTTGCACTTATGCACATTAATGTATTCTTTGGCCAGAGTATTAATTTTTATTCTGACTATTAGAATGCATTAACCACTTGCCCTCCAAAGGATTTACCCCCTTCCTAGCCAGGCCATTTTGTGTGACATGACGCTGCGTTATTTTAACTGACAATTGCGTGGTCATGTGTGGTCATGCAACGCTGCACCCAAATGACGATCAACAACTTATAGCGGGACTGCAGGGAGATACACAGATTAATTGAGACTTACATTTTATTGTGGCACTTCACATTTCTTTATTCAATATTTTATGTACCATTGATCACTCCATTTGGTCATGTATTTATTCAATATTGTCACTTTTATTTACACTGTGTGGTTTTGTTTTATTTTATTTGCATTGAGTGATTTTCTTGCCCAATATTTTTGTTCACGATTTATTGGGTCACATATTTTTATTAACATAGTATAATTATTTGTTATATGATTTTTATTTCAATTTGGCTATTGATGCTCTATACCATGGACATCTACTTAAACCTAAGTGCTCCAGTGCTGGAACTTGGGGCCCGAAAATGTAATAGTGGACTGGCCAGTGGAAGCGACTCTAGAAACTGAAGGACCTTTTAGCTTCTAGTACACATAGTTACCAAGGGTCCTGGATTGGTCAGAACAGTCCCAGTTTTCAAACAGGGGTCCCGTGATGTCCCTGTCAGGGCCCTGTCAGTGTAGTGTCCAAACTCCTCCGCTCTCTTTCATCAGTGCTCCTCCCAGTTTTCCAATATGCGCACAGTTTCTGCCTTATTCGCTCACATTAAGCCAGCATACTGGCCAGCACAGATCTAATTTATGTTCCTGTACAACTCACATTGTTCCTGCAGCAGGGTGCTCACTGTGTGTGGGCTTGGATGAGAGTCTAGGGGATCTCCACTCATGCTGGAGGGGCTCAGCTATCTCCCACTTCTGCTCTGTCTTCCACACTGCATTCTGCCTGCATAACATTAGTGCATAGGTGAGTTCAGGAACAGTCCTTATCACATGGCTGGAGGTGGGCACATAGTCAAAAGTTCACTTGCACTGTATCTGCATTAGAAAAGGCGGTGGTTTATGGATGGGCTAATAGTGCTAGGAGATATTTAGGGTTTATGGGGGAAACAGTGCTGACAGGGCAGTTGGGCTGTAGAGGGGGTAGCAATGCTTGGTGTAGAGGGGGTAACAATGCTGGGGGTAACTTGGATGGTAATAGTGCTAGAGGTATCAGGGGCATAAATGGGGCACAGTGTGGGGGGTATTGGGGGGAATGGGTACAAGGACCACAGTGTGGGGGTATCAAGGAGGGGGGAATGGGTAGAGGGGTGACAGTACTGGGGATATTGGAGATGTAGAGAGATGATAGTGCTGGGGTTATCGGGTGTACAGGTGTCACAATGCTGGAGGTTATAGGGATGAAGGGGGTTACAGTACTAGGGTAATACTGCTGGGGGGTATAGAGGTGGTAACAGCATTTATCCGGGGGTATAGAGGTGGTAACAGTGGTGGGGGGAAATCTGGGGTGGGTGTGTTACTTAATATTTATGCATGTAGTGTTTTTCCCACTATTTCTTTACTGTACAGAGTGCTTTCTCACTTTGTAAGGCTAGGTTCACACTTGAGTGGGTTTGCTGCCTGTGTTTGTGTGGACACAGCAGCACATTTATTTGACTGGGCTTCTGTGCCTGCATTTTCCACAAAAAAGGTGCCTACACCATTTAAAAATGCAGCCACAGTAAAAAAGCAAAAGCACCATGAGATTTCCTGCGATTCTCGGACCCGCAAATATACTGCGGGTTGAGATGAGTGGAGGGGTCATTAAGAATGGATGGCAGCCCTATGCGTCTCTACAGAGCAGTGAGATTTGGCTGCGGGTGCAGGAACAGCTGCGATTCTAGCACCTGCAACCACCCGCTCAAAGTGTGAACCTAGCCTCAATGTCTGCAGTCCTGATTCCATAACCTTGGTATTAGTGTTTACATGTTTACTGTTCGTACCAGTATTCTGTTGTTTTTCAGCAAAAGTCCAAAAAATGAAACAGCTTCATTCACTTGTTTCTCTTGCTTGAACATAATTATCCTTACAAGTAAGCATTTTGTGTGAAACGCATCAATGCATATCCTTTAATGTTTATCTGTACATCTTCATGTTGCGCACTCTAGCTGGATAGGATTTTTTGTCTGTGAGTCAGAGGTTTGTTAGAAGCCTAGGATGAGAGCCTGGGAGTGAGATAGAGAGGTTACCTCAGTTCAGGCTGGGAGGCTCTACGGGTCAGGTCTTCTAGAGCCTTCCCACTCTTCTAGAAACTGCTGGAACTTTCTAGAAGAGGGGCAGAGGAGGGAAGGAGGCCTGGATTTGCATGTTTGAGGGAACCTGGCCAAACCCCCAGGCAGGAGACCTGGCATGGTGGCTAGGACAGCCCTTAAATGTGGGAGAGCCTGAACAGAAGGGGAGTCGGGTGGAAGATGGAGTGAAGAAAGGTGCTTGTGTGTGGAGCCTGGGAGGGGGCCCCAGTCGAGAAGGGCCTACCTACAGACTAAAGCTGAACAGAAGAATTTCCATTGTCCCACAGTCTACTGGGACAGACAGCAGCAGGGAAGGAGCCAGCCCAGTGTAAGGCCTGAAAATAGCTGCAACCCATTAGGCTATAGGAAAAGGACAGTGTGAGTACTTCTACACCCCCTGGGCCAAGGAAAGGAGAGGGCGTTCAGCTGCAATACACAACTAGTTCTCACTGGGGCTACTTTATTGTAGATCTTGGAATCCCCTGCTCAGGCACACTCTCAAGACAGCCAGGTGGATGAGGAAATTTTTATGTGGAGTCTAAAGAGGTTCACCAAAGGGGACTCAGTGATCCTTACTAAGATTGTTGCTGATTTTTGTCCATTTTAGCTAATAAGTCGTCCTCAAAGTTGTACAGTTCCTTTGGCATCCCATATACCCAGGGTTGGTACTTCAACTAGACAAACTAGGCAGCTGCATACGGTGCACTGCCACAGCACATTCCGGCAGTCTCTCTGTGTGGGACGCCGCCACATCATGCATGATCCTTCAGCTGAGAGGTGGAGCAGCAGATGCGAGGAAGAAAGGGCAGAGGAAGATGCCAGGTGTCTGGGGCTAGTGTAGCAGCTGAGCTGTTGCTGCTTCCAGTGTTCCTCTCAGACTCAGTCCCTTACGGCAAGCTGGCTGACGGCTGCTGATCACTGTTGAGTTCCACCCCTTCTCTTCCCATTCATCAGCGGAGGCGGAGCTGTGCCTGCAGAGGAAGGTAATGTCTGACTCTCTGGTCTGTGTGAGTATGACCCGGCTGGCCCTCCAGCACATGTGCAATGTGTCAGTGAGTATTGACATCATCTCAATCCCACAGCCTGCTCTTCTAGTGCCTGCTGGGCCTGCTGATCTGTTTCAGTGTTGATGGTGTGTTGTGTCAGATTTGTCATTGTGTGGGATCGCTCAGTTCAGCTGCCTGCTGTCACAGTGTTTTATCTCACCCATTGCCTGGGGAAATCAAGCCTGGGATCTGTCAGAGTGTGGATCCATCATCTTCCATTCACTGCAACTGTCACCCTGCCACTGCCAGCCACAGATACAGTCCGTCCGTGACAATGATTTTAATATCGGTGCTGGTGGCATCTTATGGCACTTATTGTTGCAAATTAAAAGAAATGTAGCAGTTTCATGTTTTGTTTATTTAATATTTACTACTGTTTTTTAAAAAATGTATTGATTTATTTATATTTTGGGGGGGGACAAAAGTAGCCGGTCTTGCCTAGGGTGCAAAATAGTCTAGCACCAGCCCTGCATATACCCCTAGACCCAATTTCAGTTATTAACCCCTAATAAAAACAACAAAAACCAAGCTCAAGGACTGTTTTACTGAGAGTGTTGGAAAATGTGTTGGAAAATGCGTGTTACCTGGCTGTGCAAAACTTAGGGGTGACCCAAAAACGCAGCAGCCCTCCAGAGGATAGCGCTACATTCACAATATATCTTATGGTCAAGCAAGACAAAAAAGAGAATGAAATGGGTAAGTGCTACACTAGTGTACAAATCAGAACACGTTTACCCAGTTATATATATTTTTTTGGACAACTTGGCAGTCAGTCTACTGCCTCAGGCAGCTACTGTATTTAGGCAGCATCATTATACGCCCTATGCTTTTCCATTACATTAAAAAGTAAAATGTAATAAATGCATGCACATTAATAAAATAAAAATATGTATTTATTAAATGTTTGCATTGAAGTCTGCTGAGCATTGCAACTGCAATCATTGCATAGTGGGTGAGTACACAGGCTTCTGCAGACTGTTCCTGAGCCACAGGTCTGTACTGACGCCTGGCCTTTCTGGTATGGGACTGGAAGAAGAGGTCACCTTACTTGCATTTCAGTAAGATCTATGAGTCCCTCGGTCTCAGTGGAATTTAGAACTTGTAGTCTTTCCATTCCCAAATTTCAATGAATGGATTTGTGAATGGATGATGTGACTGTGCAAGGAGAGTCTTCACAGCGTTATTAAATTCAAACAAAAACAAGACTTTTCCAGGGAGATGTATCCTGAAACTCAGGTAAGTGGGGGTGGGTGGTTTGAGGGTGGGAGCTGAGGAAAGTGCCCATGTCTAATGTTAACCGCTTTTCAGCCGCCCTATAGCTGAAATACTGCTACAGGGCAGCAAGCGTGAGCAAAATCACGTATATATATATGTGATTTTGCATTTCCGAGTAGGGAGCCCTACCCGTGCCGCCATTGGCGGCCTCACCTGCCAATCACCGGGTCTGGGCGGGTGATTCCCCACCGGCACCCAGAGATCGCTGTGTATCATGGATGGGGGAGAGACCTGTATGTAAACAATACAGATCTCTCCCCTGTCAACTCCTGCACACTGGCAGAGCCATACAAAGCAGTGTGCTTACAGTGTAAAGCACACACATAGCACACAGTGAAACAGCACACAGCACACAGTTAAGCCACTGATCACCCCACCTTATCCCCTTCCTGCCCAGTGTCATTAGTACAGTGTCAGTGCTTTTTATTAGCACTGATCACTGTATTGGTGTCACTGGGGATGTCAGTGAAAGTTAGTCAGTTCCTCCCCAGTGTCAGAATGCCCGCCGCAGTCCTGCTATAAGTTGCTGGTTACTAGCATTACTAGTATAAGAAAAAATAAATTCCAGTATCTATACTGCCGTTTGTAAACGCTATAACTTTTACATAAACCAATTTGTTTACACGTATTGGGATTTTCTTATAGCAAAGACATGTAGCAGAATACATTTTGGCCTAAATTTATGAAATTTTTTTACTGGACATGTTTAATAGCAAAAAGTCAAAAATATAGTTTTTTTCTCAAAATTGGCAGGCTTTTTTTTCTATAGCGCAAAAATTAAAAACTGCAGAGGTGATCAAATACCACCGAAAGAAAGCTCTATTTGGGGGGGGGGGGGGGAGGACATACATTTAATTTGGGTGCAGAGTTGCATGACCGCGCAGTTGTCAGTTAAAGTAATGCAGCGCTGTATCTCAAACAATGGCCTGGCCAGGAAGGATGGGGGGTAAATCCTCTGGAGGGCAAGTGGTTAAACACTAAATATGGGTGTAACAGGAAACATGGCCACAAAGGTGGACTATTCTTTTAATTGTTCATTGTTATACTGCCACCTAATGGTCACTGTAAAATTGCACTGGTTTTTCTGTGTATCCTCCCCTTTGTATGATGCAAGTTCCTCTTTCCTCTTTAGAAGTTTCTGCTATTTTTCCTGCAAGACACATTGAGGTGAGGAAGGAGTTATTACTTTCATATACTGTCACCTACTGCATCATATTGTCTGCCTGCAATAATTGATATTTGTGGACGCTGAGTATTTGGTGAGTTCAGCTACCTGACAAAGATGGAAAAATATGTGTGATTGGCCTACCTCCTAGTGACTATTTAGATGCCTTACTTTTATATCCTCTATTTGTTAATTGATGTTCTACGCAATGTGGGGGTCATTTTTGGTTTCTGTTTTCAGACACACTTCCTGTCCTAGGGTGGCATTGTCAGGATTGCCACCTCATCCCTTTAAAACCGAACACATATTAACCACTTGCCCTCCAGAGGATTTACCCCCTTTCCTGACCAGGCCATTTTTTTGTGATACAGCGCTGCGTTACTTTAACTGACAATTGCGCAGTCATGCAACACTGCGCCCAAATGAAATTTATGTTCTTTTTTTTCTTCCCACAAATCGAGCTTTCTTTCGGTGGTATTTGATCACCTGTGCATTTTTTATTTTTTGTGCTATAAACAAAAAAAGATGACCATTAAAAAAAAAAACAATATTTTTTACTTTTTGCTATAAAACATATGCAGTAAAAAATTTTAAAAAGTCAAATTTCTTCCAAAATGTAGGCCAAAATGTATTCTGCTACATGTCTTTGCTAAAAGAAAATCCCAATACGTGTAAAAAAATTTGGTTTAGGTCAAAGTTATAGCGTCTACAAATGGTGGTATATATACTGGTATTTTTTTTTTTTTTATACTAGTAATGGTGGTGATCAGTGACTTATAGCGGGACTGCAGCTGGCATTCTGACACTGGGTGGGAGCTGACTAACTGCCACTGACATCACAATGACACTAATACAGTGATCAGTGCTAATAAAAAGCACTGACACTGTTCCAATGACACTGGGCAGGAAGGGGTTAACATGTGGGGCGATCAAAGGATTAACTGTGTGCTGTTTTACATATGTGCTGTGTTTTATTAGGGAAATGTGCTGCTGTGTATTTCTCTGCAGAGAAATACACAGCAGCATGTCCTTAGGCAGGAGAAAGACCTGTGTTGTTTACACACAAGTCTCTCCCCCTGTCAGATCTACACAGCGATCAGAGGGTGCCAGTGGGGAATCTCCAGCCGGCACCTGGTGATTGACATCCCTAGCCACCAATTGCAGTGGAGGCACGCACCACCTACCCGCAAATGCAAATCACTTATATATATATGTGATTTTGTGCAGCCCTGCTGCCATGTAGCAGTAGTTCTACTGTAGGGCAGTGGGAAAGCGGTTAATTACACAGGTTCTGGGGCTAATTTAATGCAGATAAGGCACTAAGTGAGTTAAAATTACCACCTTACTCAGCCACAGAACCTGTGTCATTAATATTTGTTTTAAAGGGATGAGGTGGCAGCCCTAAATACATATACACAACACAGTAAATGAGCATCATCACTCTAGTACATGAAGTGTGTTACTGGTAAAAAAAAGAAAAAGCCATAAAAAAACGTAGTCACTACAGTTAAAGCAGAACCACACTCAAAAAGTTAAGTACCTCTGGTTCAATCCCTCTCCCCAGCCAGTTACAGGTTTGTTTTTTTTTTTGGGGGGAGGAGGCAAGTATAGATTTTTATCAGTACCTGCTCCCAGTTTTGCAATCCTCATCTAGCTCATCTAGGAGAGGATGACATCACTTGTTGCTCCCCATCCCGCAACCTCCTGGGACATGTCACATATCTCAAGTGAGGGCCATTCACAGAGTGCTGGGTGAGCTCTTGTATATGCAGTGGGGAGCCGGCTGTGGTTCCTCAGGAAGCCACAGCCAGCTCTCATATCTGAGATGTCACCACCAGGGACCTGAATTGGAAAGAAGGCTGTGGGAAGACAGCACTGGACTTCAGTATTTGTAGATCTATCCTGGGACATAGGTCTACCTTGGGTACTCTGTAGGTCTACCCTGGGTACTTTGGACTTTTGGCCCCTGTCACGTAGGGCGGATCTGATTTGTTCAGCAGGGGATCTGTCTGCTTATTCCCTGTTGAGCAGAGCAGAGTGGGCTGATGACAGGTCCTTGTCCACTGAGTTTAAGCAGAGTGGACATGGGCAAAGCCCGATTTTCTCTGTGGGTGGCCGGGTGTAAACGGGAGCAACTATCCATTTACACTCGACTACCTCCAATCCGATCTGCCTACATGGAGGAGAATGGATAAGCTCACCTTTTTGGGCAGAATTTCACTTTTCATAATAAATAGAAGTGTTTTCCATTATTTCTGGTCCAGTCATCCCAACGTGCTTATCTCTCACTTAACTTGTCCATGGAAGCTTTGAAATTTCATGTTTATTTGGATTTTAAAAAATGTTTTTAGATTCCATCACTTCCTGTAGATCATATCCCAGCATGCACTTCCCAGCTGCATCACAGAAGAAGGAGTGATAGGGCGTGTTCACCTGTCAGGACTACACCTCCCTCATTACTTATTCTCACCTACTTTCTATACCGGGGTACTGAATTCAAATTCATAGGGTTCCGGTCAGTAAAATTTTCTTCCAGTGGAGGTCTGAGTGTCTTGTTGGTACTATCACACAGATCCTGCACATCACAGCCTCGCCCTCTTTTACACCACAGATCGCCCCACCACAGACAGACCCATCTCAGAAAACCTACCCCCATCACAGACCGCCCCATCATAGACCCCCCATCACTGACATCCCATCACAGGCATCCCATTACAACCCCCCTCTCCCACATATCACTAACTGCTCTATCACAGACCCCCCATCACAGACTCTCCCAATCACAGACCCCTCATCGCAAAGCTCATCACCAATCCCCTCCATTACAAACCCCTCATTACAGATCCCTCATCACAGACCACTCTCATTACATATCCCCCTCGGCACACATCCCCCCTCATCACAGACCCCCTCATCATAGGCCCCTCTCATCACAGATCCCCCTTTTCACAGATCCCCTCCATCACAGACCCCTCAACACAGACCCCCCCTCCTAACATAACAGATCGCCCCACCACAGTCCTTCCTGCATATTACAGATTCCTGTCCCTTTCTTAACATCAAAGCACTCCCCCTTCCTCTCCCCCTCCCCACACTATCCTACCTTATTCACATAAGATGGCAAGTATGACAGGTCTGGACATAGGGCGGGACTTTTCATGTTAAAGGCGAGTAAATGATTGCTTGCACCGCCCAGCTGCCTAGCAACCAATCACTTGCTTCCTAAGATGACAAGTACCGCCCTATGTCCAGACCTGCCGTGCTTCCCATCTTGTGTGAACAAGGTAGGACAGTGTGGGGAGGGGGGAGAAAGGGGGAGTACTGTGATGTTATGAAAGGGGCAGACCTGCTGCACCTCCAATGTTGTCATTCCTTGAAGATAATAGCGGCGGGCAGGCAAGCCAGCGGCGGGGAGAGAACATTCAGGCAACTATTTGGTGAGGCTGTTGTCCAGAAAGGAATGTTTCTGGGTCTGGATCTGGACCGCGGTCCACCATTTAGTGATGTCTGTTCTATACAATCTGATTGTAAAGTCTTCTATAAATCTATCCTATGTATTGTCTGCCTAATTTGATATGAATTGAATGGACTGTTCAAGTGGGTCCTCCTCTTTTATAGTTCTTGTAAATCTAAAGGAAATTGTACAATCAGGTTGCGTAGTGTATAGCCATCTTTATATAAGTACATAGGAGGACAGAAACACTGAGTTTTCAGGCCCGTTCACATCTCTGTGTAGCGAGAACTCACATTCATTGGGGTGTTTTGGAGTGTTTTCACTCATCACGTATAATGGGTTGCCCTACATGCAACAAACACCCCAAAGAAGCTCCAGAAGGGAGCCTGATCAATTTTTACTGCATTTTTTGGTGTGTTTGAAGACCTGCAAACCCTACTTGGGGTACCATTAACATTTTTTTAAAAGGTGTTTATTTATTTTGCATTTAAAAAACACAAAAAACAGAAAAAAAGAGACAAATGATAAATAATAACAGGAACCCAAAACTAAAACTTAAGAGCAAGGGTACACAGAAAAGGATCAGACACAACCAACAAATTATTGCTAGGCCATGAGCCCTTTACAGAGTACAGTAAAAATTACAAAACAAATACAACAGCAGCATGACAGATCAACAATCAAAAACAGTCAAACACACAGTCAAAACACACAAATAGCCACAAACACCTATAGTTCCATTAACATTTAGTGCGAATGAAAACATAATGCACATTTGCAGTGTGTTTCTGAAAAGCACAGCAGGATGCATTTACTGTGCAGTTTGCCATGTGTAGATGTGAATGGAGCCTCCTTATTCTTGTGTAAACACTCAAATTTCACTTTAAGACCCGATTCTCACCTAGCATAGTGGGAACACATTTTTTTGGCTCATTTTTCCAATGACACGCGTAGAGTAACCCTTTGACCCCAATGGGCTGCCCTACACGTGACAAAGTAGTTCATGGTACATTTTGACTTGTTGCTGTTTGCACAGTTTTTCTGTGCGTTTTGCTGCTTTTGTTGCTTGCGTCTACACTTGGAAAAACGTGTTTGCATTTGAGGTGCCTTTAACAATTTATATCACCAAAAGCTCAACTAGGTAATTTTAGGTGTATTAAAATGGCCATACACTATAGAATCTGATTGTACTATCTCTGTGCAATCTCCTTTAGATTTACCAAAACTATATCATTGGATATACCATCTATCCAATCATTCTGTATCCAATCAGGAAGGCCCTTGCACTACATAGTTGATGGTAGATCTAAAGGAGATTGAACAATCAGATTGTATAGTGTATGGTGAGCTTACATGACTTCCAGGACACACATCTCCTGTTTTCAATACTACAGCTCTTCTCCATATAGGCTGTGATCGCTCAGCTCCTGCACACTTGCCAAATGTGCTATCTATGCCAGTGTTTCTCAACATTTTTTCGGTCAAGGCACCCTTTTTAAAATTATGGACAATCCCGAGGCACCCTTTAAAATTATGCGCAGTCTTGAAGCACCCCAATCAAAAGTGGGGTGCCTCTAGACTGTACATAATTTTAAAAGGGCACCCCATTCTAAAATGTGAAAAACTATTCTAATAGTTTTTATATAACGCAGTAACATCCACACATGTAGGACACCCAACATTAGAGGTGACGTATTCTTCCAGAGCAAATACACTTTTGCACACTAGTACTGACTAGTATTCCAATGTTTCTCTTCTCCCTCAGTTTTTCTCCATCACTGAGCTAATGTGACCCCAGCTTTAATGGAAAGGGGCAGGGGAGAGGGTCAAACTAGGATGCTGTGCAAGCAGCTGACATCCTCCTTATCAACTGATGATGTCATTTGTTGTCAGGACAGCGGCAGCTAGAAGGCAGTAATGGTGCACAATGAAAACCTGTGGCTTTGTGTAACTAAAAGGCAAGTTTGTTCCACCCTCTGTCTTGTATGTAAGTTTTGGGCAATTTTTAGACATTTTGCCAAGGCACCCCTGAAGAAACCTCAAGGCACCCCAGGGTGCCTGGGCACCCTGGTTGAGAAAGGCTGATCTATGCAATTTCTGTAAGATAGAAAAAAAAAGTCAAAGGTAATTAGTAAGAATAGTGATTGCTGATTGCATTGGAAATGCTGAACCTGTAGAGGTGGGAGCAATCTCCTGGAGAAGGGGGACAGATGCAGGGTGTGTTAATGGTTAGCTGGTGAACTACTTCCTTCTACTGGTTCTCCCGTCCTGAAAAGCAAATTCAGGATGGCTAATGTTTTCAACAGGACACTGAGGCTGAGGTGAGGCCTAGTCTAGGAGATATAGAAAGCTTTATCTTTTCTGTAATGCCACTTTCACACTGATGCATAGCAAAAACATGGCATTTGTGCTGCGTTTTTACCACAATTGTGCTGCGTTTTTTTTACAGGACATGAGACTTCCATTCACTTCAGTAGGGAGGTGTGTTTTTTTTTTTTTTTTTTTGTCGTTTTTGTTTTTGTTTACCGCACCAAACATGCAGCAAGCAGGATTTGCAGCTGACCCACAATAGATCATTGTGAAGAGTTCCTTAGGATTACATGGTTACATGTTTTTCTTCTGCTTTTTTTTAACACAAAAGTGGAAGAAAAACAGATCAGTGTGAAATCAGTCTACAAGAGGTACCGCTATGGTATATTGGTACATAGGGAAGTTGGGGAAAAAAAAAAAAAAGGTGAACTAGCCTTAAATTAGAAATCTGTGAAAGGCCAAGGCTACACAGGCAATTTTAACCTTGAGATACACAAGTGATTTATCTCAAAGGCTAAGGCTCCATTCACACTTCTAAAGTCTCACGATTTCCAGTGCGACTTTGGAGTGCGATTGTGATGTGACTTTACATTCTCTGGCACTAAGGTGCATAAGAGTAGGGCAGGAACCTTTTCAATGTCACTGCAACTTAACCCCCCTGGCGGTATTCCCGAGTGTAGCTCGGGGTAAAGTTTCAGCACCACAAGTGGTAACCCCAAGCTACTCTTGGGAATACCTTGCAGCTTTGCTTTGGGATCTCTTCTTCACTTACCTTGTCCTGCGCTCCCGCAATGTCCCTCCTGCAGTGTCCCCGGCAATGTCCTCCGGCCGATGCCAGCATCCGTCTTCTGGGTTGCATTCCCTGCGATGTCAGGAAGTACGGGGACAGAACGGCAGGAAATTTAAAAATGTGAACATGTGAATGTAAAATGTAAAAATGTGAATGTGAAGTGACATTCACTAAATACCGTATTTTTCGCTCCATAAGACCCACCTAACCATAAGACGCACCTAGGTTTTAGAGGAGAAAAACAAGAAAAAAAATATTCTGAACCAATGGACTGCAGACAAAGAACAGGAAATGACCAGAGACTGCGGACACAGTACAGGGGTTGACCAGAGACTGCGGACACAGAACAGGGGATGACCAGAGACTGCAGACACAGTACAGGAGATGACCAGAGACTGCGGACACAGTACAGGGGATGACCAGAGACTGCGGACACAGTACAGGGGATGACCAGAGACTGCGGACACAGTACAGGGGATGACCAGAGACTGCGGACAAAGTACAGGGGATGACCAGAGACTGCGGACACAGTACAGTGGATGACCAGAGACTGCGGACACAGTACAGGGGATGACCAGAGACTGCGGGCACAGTACAGGGGATGACCAGAGACTGCGGACACAGTACAGGGGATGACCAGAGACTGCGGACACAGTACAGGGGATGACCAGAGACTGCGGACACAGTACAGGAGATGACCAGAGACTGCGGACACAGTACAGGGGATGACCAGAGACTGCGGACACAGTACAGGAGATGACCAGAGACTGCGGACACAGTGCAGGGGATGACCAGAGACTGCGGACACAGTACAGGGGATGACCAGAGACTGCAGACACAGTACAGGGGATGACCAGAGACTGCAGACACAGTACAGATGACCAGAGACTCCAGACAGTGCAGGGGGTGACCAGAGACTGCAGACAGTAAAGGAGATGACCAGAGACTGCGGACCTTTGGGGAGGGAGGGGGAACGGGTTCCTGAATTTGACAGGTATCCGCTCCCACTTCTGCGGAGTTGTCCTTCCTTCTTCTTGCCGTGGCGGCTTCTGTGACAGCCGGGTGCCCACTGTGCATGCGTGAGAAGTGCTGCGCTTTGTGAATGGCCCAGAGCCTTATGGGACCTGTCATGTGTCCCAGAAGACAGCGGACCATTCAGAAGGCGCAGCACTTCTTGCGCATGCGCAGTGGGCACCTGGCTGTCACAGAAGCCGTCGCGGGAAGACTGCAGCGATGGAGCGAGGAACAGGTAAGGTCCTGCAGGAGAGAAGAGCTGAGCGGCCGGCCCGATATTCTGACATGGTGGCGGCAGAAATACCGGACCGGCCGCTTTACATTCACTCCATAAGACGCACTGACATTTCCCCCCCTTTTTTGGGGGGAAAAAAGTGCGTCTTATGGAGCGAAAAATACGGTACACTAAAATCACGTAGTATAACATTACTGTATCAAACCATTTTACATACATTTTGTCCCTAGTGCTTTGTCCTGTGCCCTGCCTGCATTTTTACTATTCTTTCTGCCTGGAAACTGAGAAATGTCCATGGCGTCCAAAAAGCGTCCCTTTAGGTCAAAATCGGTTTTAGATCAGCTAGAGAACAGCGATAGTAAATCAGAACCACTTGCTCAATTGAGTGATAATGATTCGTGGGGAAATTCATCATCAGACACTGAAAACGATTTTGCGACTTTGCTCAGTGATGTGCAAACTTGGTGCTCTATTTCAAATTTCAGTGTTTTTGGTTTGATTATATTATTGAATTAAATGTATTATTATTATATTATTATTTTTTATGATTATTTATTATATTATAATTTATGATTTTGTGTTTCAAATTTTAACATACCCGGGATGTTTACTAGACTCTTGTTCGGACAGATTTCAGTAAGTTATTCCTAAAAATTACAGGCCTACAATAAAAAAAATACATGTTTCCATGCAAAACAATGTACCGCTTTGAGCGCAGAAATACTGATATAATCAGACCGCTAGGGAGGTTAAAGTCGCATGAATCCGAACAGCTGCCATTGAAGACAGTGGGCTGTGACTTGTCATGCGACTTTATGTATCTAAAGTCACATGACAAGTCACACAAGTGTGACTGAAACCTAAAAAAAATTCCCCCACCGCAAAAAAATTGCTCTTGAATGTTATCAGATTGGTATTATAAGATTAACCTCCTAGATTGTAAACTCTAACGAGCAGAGCCCTCTGTTTCCTCTTGTACCAAATTGTATTGTAACTGTATGTCTACCTTCATTTTGTAAAGCGCTGCGCAAACTGTTGGCGCTGTATAAATCCTGTATAATATAATAATTAACCTCACTGAGTATCTTTAAATAGGAAAAGTTGTCTAACAATCTTCTAAATGAGCAACTGTTTAGCGACTAATCTCCTGCTCTCATTCTGTAGGGAATAAGGGAGATTAATCACTAATTATTTCAAATGCAGGCGTTGTGCAAGACCCATTGCTCAACTGCACAAATGCATTTTTTTTTTAATGCTGCATCCCATATTAAGGGTACATGCACACTGGATGTTAAAAACAACTGATCTGGACGTTTGTTTCTGGCAGCCAAAAGAATGCTTGATGCTGGTAAATGTATGTACCATGTTTACCCACATCAAGTGCTTGGGCACGTCATTCCCGAGAATAAATACTTTATTCTGGCCATTGAAATTGAACAAATTCTAAACATGTCTAGCGTTAACACATGTTTACACACATTTTTGCAGCGTTTGGCATTTTTTTGTCAAAACACTCCTCTCCTGAATGCAATTCTGTATTCAGGAGAGGAGTGTTTCACTGCCTCTGCCTTTTCTGCTTCTAAACTCTTTCAAAAAAGCCTATGTGTGCATGGACACATAGGCTTTCATTGAGTTGAGTTCAGGGGCTTTGGCAAAAAAATGCTAAAAGCTCCAAAACGTGAGTTTAGGAGCAGCAGTGTGCATAAGGCCTTAGGCTATGCTCACAGGGGAGCATGCGTATCTGCAGTTTGCTGCATTCAGATTGGTCTCTGTGCTAGGGCCGCATACAAACTGGCTGATTAGCTGTGGGCAGCTTGTATGAAAAAAAAAGCAGAACTCCTTTTCTTCAGCCTTGCACAGGCTCTTGTACTCAGATTGCTAACTCCTAATTCACTGCACACTGTGAGCCTCATAAAGTGTGCATTAGAAGCTTCCGCAAGTCATATACACAATCCAGTGAGAGCGTCAAACACATTTCAAAGAGTCCAAGGTCTTTAAAATAAAAATTGATTCATAGCAGAAAAACCCAATGTGTTTTGAGGCTGATATACCCTCAAGACTTAGGAATTTTGACGGTGCTTAAAGTGACAAAGGAAAAGGGGAAAAAGCAAATCACCTAATTTTCTGGCTGGAAAATGCACAGCATCATCTAGCCCTTTCTTTCCCAGCCTTCCTCTCCCAGATCTGCCCCTTTCATTCACTGGATTTCAGTTCCTTTCAATGGTGTTTTCAGAAAGCAGTGTACAACACCCTGCTGGCACCTCTCATAAGCTATGATCTGCCTGCATTGCACAGAGAAGAACAGACAGGAGTTCAGCTTTAAAGTGATAATAAAAGGCAGATTTAAAAAAAAAAAATATAACAAACATGCCATATTTACCTGCTCTGTGCAGTGCTCTTGCACAGAGCAACCCCTGTTTTTAACGTAAACTGTTAGACAGGAAAATTTGGTTGGTTGCAGGCTGGTTGGTAAGTTGAGCTGGGAATTTTTCTTTGTTGTCGCTTGACATGCGTCGCCTTTCCATGTGCTCCTTGCTGCAAAGGCATTTATAGGTTGGGGCAGTTGCTGTTTGTACTGTTAGTATAATGGTGAGGGGATGCACTGGACACCTTTGCTGCCATTGTGCTATATGCTGGGTGTCCAGTTCGCCCCTGTGGCTTTAAGGAGGGGTGGGTTCCCCCCAGGCATACCTGCTCTCAATCTATCCACTATTATATATGTGCTTCTACTATGGAGGCTGTCAAAATGTTTAGAGTTAGGAACTGCAGAATACTGGGGTGCCGTGAAGAGGCTCTGCAGCTTACGCATGTATTTGCAAATGTGTGCAAACTATACCCCTGTTTTTAATGTGAACTGTAAGACAGGATAATTCAGTTGGTTGCAGGCTGGTTGGTAAGTTGAGCCAGGAATTTTTCTTTGTTGTTTAACAGCCTCTCCTCTTCTCGGGTCCACCAATGGTGCTCCTGGCCCTTCCCTCCTGCCAAGTGCCCCCAGAGCAAGCAGCTTGCTATATGACACCTGAGCAAACTCGCTCCCGAGCCGCTGCTCTGTGTGTCCATTTACACATGGAGCTTGGCTCGGCTCCACCCCTCTCTCTCCTCATTGGCTCACTTTCTGTGAATGACAGTAGTGGAAGCCAATGGTTTCTGCTGCTGTTTCAACCAATGAGGAGGAAAAGTCCCCGGAGAGCAGCTGCTCTTGTGCACATTGCTGGATCGAGATGGGGCTCAGGTAAGTATTAAGGTGGGCTGGGGGCTGCACAAAGAAGGTTTTTTAATTTGATGCATAGAATGCATGAAGGTAAAAAAGCTTTGAGCCTTTACAACCACTTTAATTATACTACCGTGAGCAGAAGCTCTGCTACATGAGCACAGGCAGTAATAACAGTAAGTGGGGAAAGGTTAAAACAAACTTTTTTGGCTGTCTTTGTTTCTGTAGGGGATATTTCCCTCTCTGGTAATCAGGACATAAAGTGACTCAAAATATCACCCAAACCGTACTCTCTGCTCCTCGCATGACCTCCTGCTCTCTAGCTTCCTTGTCTGCTCCTCCCATGCTCATCTCCAGGACTTCTCCAGAGCTTCCCCCATCCTCTGGAACTCTCTACCCCAATGTATCACCTACTCTGCTCACTTTTAGGCGATCTCTGAAAACCTATCTCTTCAGGGAAACCTATCCTGCTCTCGGCTAATAATGGAATCTTATATTCCTCCCACCAGTCCACCCCCCACAGTTACTACCTTTTGTACCACTAGCCCCTCACTCTTAGATTGTAAGCTCCAAGGAGCAGGGCCTTCCTAACCCTCTTGTATTGAACTGTATTGTTGCTGTATTGTCTCCCATTATATTGTAAAGCGCTGAGCAAACTTTTGGCGCTATATAAATCCTGTATTATCATAATAATAATAACAGGGACTCAACAAATATTATTCAGTTCATAATTTCCTGAAAGGTAATCCAACCACACATTTAAAAGAATACTAGCTAAATGGCATGTTTGAAATGTTGGGAGATATAGGATTACACAGAGGTGACCTATATTGACTCTATGGTTTTGATTTTGTCCTCTCCATCCCTTGACATTGCCTATTATAAAAGTCACACAGTCCACGTACAGTACTTTGATGTCTGGCTAGAAGTGTGTGTGAACGAGTGATCAGTGAAATATTTCTGCACCTAAACTGTGATGATGTTAGTCTGCCTAAAGTGTCCACCCACTAACATCAAGGAAAAATAAACCAGAGAAAGCCTCAGTTGAACAGGTTGAGCATGAAAAGTTGTATCCCACAGGATATGAAACTTTTATTTTTAATCATT